GCCCGCGCTCCGGAGCCCTGTTCGCACCATCGCTTTGACATTTAGCGAAATTGTTGAAAAATAAAAGATTTTCACGTATTCCTGTTAAAGGTATGGCCGAAGTCGGTTTTTGTACCGTTGCGCTTTTACCGACGCGGACTAAATCGAGACCTGGGCGTCCGTAAAAAATCGTTTTGATTCCCTTTGTCATTCGAAATATGAATCGAGAACGGTGTCTGTACGATAGGTTATGCAGCCTATGGGGTGTTGTCAACACGGTTGTTGTGTAAGAACCATAGAGGGGCAAGGAACAAAGGGGATAAAAAAATAAGGCGCTTAAACGCTTTTATTATCTATGTAGGTGACAATAAACATCGGTGCAAGGGGTGGCGGGTCTTCTTGGACGTGGGTGTATGTGTGCGTATGTAATTGATAGGTGCGCTTGTTTTGTGTGTGTGCGCGGAGGGTTGCGAGAGCTGATGCCTGATGGCTCAGACACGCCCACCCAATAATTGCCCTCAATGTCACTAATAAAAATATTACTTTATTAGGATACGATGATTTTTTTCCATTAACTACAGCAAAGTGTATCGAACGTTCAGCGATAGGATCTCATTTAATTTGAAAACAAAAGTTGTGTTACAATTTAATTTGATATTACGAAATAAAAAAATGCATCTACCAAAATAAAAAATTACATTTAAAATGTTATTAGACATCGATTTCCAATTTTGGTATTAGTGGGTATATTTATAAAATTTTACTTTATGCACAAAATCAAAACATATAAAACTCAGTATAAATATGGACCCTATTTTATTTTAATACACACGGACATTCACATTTTATTGTAGTAAGTTTTTTATACAATTCACCAATCCGGGACAGATGGTACTGGGCGCTCATAAACACCTTTTGAAATGCGCTCCTCCGTAATGGGGTAACAACATTATCATATGTGGCAAAATGGCCGAAACATAATGTCGCTTCTCCTCAAATATATATTATATTAAACTAGCTGTCGCCCGCGACTCCGTCCGCGCGGAATAAAAAATAGATTTTAGCCGATTTTCAGACCTACTCAATATGCTCACAAAATTTCATGAGAATCGGTCAAGTCGTTTCGGAGGAGTATGGGAACGAAAATTGTGACACGAGACGATTTTATATATAAGATGTATATTTTAGCTGAAATATTTAAGGACACAAAAACACTAAATTAAACAAATAGTAAATAGAATACAAACGAAAAGATTACTTTCAAAAAGATAGTTTACGCGTTTGTTCCGTGTAATCTTCTCTACGGCTGTAAAAAAAAACACGGGACTTTTCATTGCAACTAGCTTATGTATAGGGGAGTAATATTAGACTATTTTTTTTAAATCCACACTGGCGAAAGTTGTGGCCAACAACTTGATATACATACATATAATACATAAAGTTTATTATTGATCTTGTCCATCATTAATTATTATATTTTTAAATTACTTAAATTACTAGCTGTCTCTCACGACTCTGTCTGCGTAGTATTAGTAAAAAAACTTAATTTATAGCCTATGTGTTTTTCCAGGCTATGTTCTACGTCCATGCCAAATTTCATCCAAATCCGTTGAGCCGTTCTTCTAACAAACAGCCATCTATAAATCTAAAATTTAGCATTTATAATATTGCTAAGATTATTATGTAGTATAAAAAGTCTTCTGTTTCCATTATGTAGGATGATACCACGACCACACAGAAGACAGGCGTGAAGTGGAAACAATTCCGCGTTTCGTCTGATGAGTGTGCGTCCCGGAGCCCTAATTTAGTCCTCTTTCCCTTCCTACCCTTTTTCTCAAAAGATGGGAAGTGGTAGTGGACTTTCCGAATGAGAGGATGCATTGAAGGGACAAAATATTTTCTTTCTGTGCATCCTCTACTCCGTCGATTAAAGGTAGGCAACGCATATGCAATTGCGTATGTCTAATGGCAACGGTCACTTCGCTATATCAGCGATTTCAGGTGGCCGCTCGCTCGTTTGTCACCTTATGTTATAAAAAAAAGATAATTTAAAAATATATTAGTATAGTAAGTTGATTTTTCAAGAACAGATACTTTCATAAATATTATTGTGTTTGTTCCAGACACTAGATTATTAGTTGTCATAAAAAAGTGTAATGAATGTTTATAAGTATCAAATGAGATGCGAACATAATGTGCAGTTGAGTGTATTGTTTAGTTAGAGGCAATAAACGGGCGAGGAGTGCACTCGACGGCATCGCGTTCACAATACCCATTGCCGACCGCAGGGCAGGGGCGGCCGCGGCAAGGGTTCCGTATTGTTTGCAAAATATTTTGAAAGCGTCATTTTATACGGCGTATTAGCCAAGCAGTGCATCTGATCGGGGGTCGTCTTCGAGTTCAAATCATATCATCATTACGCCATTGTAAGGCCCCTCACCCCAACCAGTCGTGCAGAGCTGTATCTGACAAAGACAGAGGGATGGTTACTTTTTATTGTAGCTGGTAAAAACTGTGTGACCTCATACCATAGTAGATTGAATACATAGTACGCTTTTTATTTAGGCTACGGATTGTTTCCATTTTTGACCGATTCAAAGGATATTATTTACTTTTGTTTTGTTTTTAACGATACATATGTGTTCGTAGTGTTGCAATTCAAAATAATTAATTTCTTATTTACAATAATTGCAATTTATTTAAGTTAGCTTAAAAACGCATTGAAAGTCACTGGGCGTTTTACATACTTATAATTTTTAACAGATAGAGTCGTTTTAATCTAGAATTTAAAAATTTCGCTACGAATGTATATTTATATAGACAAATTCGCACAAATAAACTAGCAAGTATTTTTTAAAGTGTTATAATTTGATAAAAACATACATTTATTTAATAAATGTACGTTAGTGAGAACAAGGTGATCGTGAGTCAGTGGGCGGACTGCGCCGGCGGGCGCCTTCGGGATTGTCTTAATCTTAAACTTTACAAACTATTTGACAACATTATAAATATTCCACATAGTGTCCGGTTTTGAAATATATCGAATATCAATTATTCCAGGAAATATAAATCAAAGAATTCACTAAACATATTATGATTGACATATAAACTTAATTTAGGCTCATTCAGTTCATTTTTTGTAACATTATTTTCTCATTGCATCTAACTTTTTTCTGTCACTTTTACTTGCATAAACAATGCACATAATATTATATATATCTTAAAGTAAAACATATAAATATTAGCATAAGCAACAAAGCAATAAATATTGTTATAGAGAGACTTACTAATATTATAAATGCGAATGTTTGGATGGATGGATGTTCATTTGAAGATATCTTCAGAACCGCTGAACGTATCCTGCTGATATTTGGCATAGACGTATAACATAGTCTGGAAGAACATATAGGCTACTAATTAAGTTTTTTCTTTAATTCCGCGCGAAGGGAATCGCGGGCGACAGCTAGCTTATAATAATTAAATGCAGTTTACCGCATGACGTGTCATCACTATACTGTGTTACGTTATAGTATACAAGATGAGCATTCATAAAGTTATTTTATCATCAAATTGATACGTAACGTAAAACGATGGCAAATAAATTGAGCTACCGAGTTTTGAACTCGCTATATCATGTGTCTTCGAACAAGTTTATAAAAGTATCAGTTACCTCCGAGCATTCATAACCAGATCTTTGTCAGATAAAAATATAAATCGGAAATAATAAAATTATAATTCCTTGAATACAATAACAATTATTTGAATAAAAGGGACGATCTCATAAACTACAAGTATTGTATCGATTGAGTATTATGTACTAAAAAAATGCCATGACTTTACATTTAAGAAAATCGGATTAAGAGTTTTTTAATGGAATGAAAATTATTTTGATGACTGGTTTTATCCTTAATTAGCCTTTGAAGTTTTTATTCGGGATGCGCAATATAATAAACATATTTTAAGAATGTCTATAAATCTAGCCTAATAGAATGAACACTTAATATGTTTAACAGCTCAAGATACGTTGTCCTAACATTGTACGATTTGTTTCAAATTGTTTAACAATTGCGTAATATCGATTCAAAAAATATTACGAAGGCATTATGCTCGATTCATTAAAGAATAATAGAATTCGACTTCCAAGTCGCTTTTGTACCGGAGACACATCGAAGTTAATTTATAGTCATCCATAAAACAATTCTTCAAAGTTCGCCACAAAAACAGCGGAGCTATTCACGAGCCCGTATGAGATAATAACGGACAGGACAAACGTTGGGACGCAACGCTAGACAACACCACTCAAAAAATGTACATAATAAAACCAGATGGCCACACTCCACGACGCCGGACTATACAAATTCTTAGACCGTTTATTCGAAAAACGACATTTAAAGTTAAGTACTTTACGAAAATGTCGCGAGCGAGCGAGAGGGTGCGCCCGAGGCGAGACAGCGAACCCGGACATTTTAATTTATGACGTCTTTTTTATTTAACTCTACACAATACCGATGAATCTTTCGACTAGTAATAAATTGAAAAATGGTGTTTCTAAGTATAAGTGTTTTTGTTCAGAGATGATCGTACCGAGAAACGGACTTCACAAGTTGACGATGTAATCATTATCAGAGGACCGCGTGTTGTGGTTGTCATTTGATGGTATCGTGTTAGAGCGATAGTGTGGTTGGTGTGATCGTGTCACATGGATGCAAAGCTACCGGCTACCGGTGACACGGCAGCTCGGCCACGGGGCGTCTCGTTATAGATTAATGACGATCAAAACATTTCGGCAAATTGACACCGACAGGCAACGACACGGTCTTTTGACCTTATAATATTATTTAGCGTTTAATTTTGTTCAAATTCAATAATCAAGGGTAGGCTAAAGATATTATAGTAAAGCTATAACAATTAATAACCTGTATAGTAGAATTATTAGTGGCCATAAAAATAAACCGTTATGGATTATGACCATTAACTAAGAAAAGGGCAGAAAGCTTATATTACGATGGATTTTCACTTACCGGTATGAGTCCTCTTGTGTATCTTGAGATTCTCCGACCTCGCGAACACTTTCCCGCAACCGGGGAAAGGGCAGGGGAACGGCTTCTCTCCCGTGTGCACTCGGATGTGATTGACGAGCTTGTACTTCGCTTTGAACGGTCTTCCATTCCGTGCACAACCCTGCCAGAAACAGGCGTGCGTCGTGCACTCTGGCCCTCCGACGTGTTCGACAGTTAGGTGGGTCACGATCTCGTGCATGCTGGAGAACAGTTTGTTGCACATTTTGCGAGGCGGCGGCTGTTCCGGGTCGAGCCATTGGCAGCGCATGTCGCGCCGAGGGGGAGCGCGCACGTAGCGCAAGAAGGCGTGCGGCGCGTGCGCGTGCGCATGCGGCACCAGCGGCGGTGGCCCTCCCTGGTAGTGCACGTCGCCGCGCCACTCCCAGCTCTGCTCGAGCGGTTGCTGCGGAAATAGCTCCCCGCAGCCGCCGTAGTCGCGCAGATAGCCAGGCTGATATGAGTGCAGCGGGTATGGCTGATAGTGCGGCGGGTGATGCGGCGGAGGATGCGGAGCGGCGGTGCGGTGTTGTGCACCCACGCCGCACGCCGGCTGCGGCGACATCTTCAGGCCATAGGAGGCGAGGTGCGCATGGTTGGTCTCCAGGAACGCATTCATGGCGGGGGTGGCCGGCACCGGCGCATAGCCCCATTCGCCCGCCACCATCCACGCGGCGGGTCTTCCCCGCTGATAAGCCTTCTTGCAAAATCCTCAATAGTGTAGATGTCGGGGGCTCCACACGTCTAAGTGTGAACGTGACTGATAGGGTTTGCTACCATTTTTCTTCGTTTCGATTGTGACGGCGCCCTGTTAATGATAAAGACTTAAATGAACAAAAACATTAAAACAATTAGCACGGTTACCTGCTCATTCGTAAAACACACAAGCAGACCTAACCCAAAATTATATTAACCATCCGAAACAAATTCAAAGCCATTTCTCAATATAATAACGCGCACCCATAGCTGGCATCGAACATTTATTTATAACAAAAAAAAATTGTGAGGCAGGCACTTTTGGACATTAAATTTAAACTGGATAAATTTATAGGACACTTTTATATGTCTGAGACAAAAATTCCAATTGTATTCGTGTATATTTAATTTTCGTTTATTTGTTAGACAGCGTCCAATCTCTTTTATTACGGAGGTTTAGCAGCCGTAGTTTATTAAAATAGTTTTATGAATGATAAAACCTGTTGTACCGTGCAGGCGAGCGACAGCCTCTATATTACATCTACAAGTCCTTTTTTATGTTTTAATATTTTAAGTATAAAATATGTCACGGCATTTGGTTTCACGCACCACGTGGGCACATGATGATATTATAAAATAGTAATTAAATCGTGGATTTATAATGTATTTTAATATCATTTATTTTAAATTTTTCATTAAACCAGAACGCATAAGGAATTTTTCTGAATTCTTAATTAAAAGGTCAATGAATATGTATCTTGAAGCCGCTTGTTGATAATTTCCCTAAATATAAAAACATCTCTTGTGATTTGGTACCAAACTTTCTTAATATTTAAACAAAAAAAAAATTAAAACAAATGTAATTAAAAAGTAAACCCTTTGCAATAAATGTTAGTAGACACTGATTCTCAAACATTTTGCTGGACACAAAAGTTTAAGATTAGCCAATTCTGTTCTCAATATGTCAATCAAGCTGTTTCTACTTACGTAGGTGTAAGCAGTTAATCGCATTATTCACAAATAATGTTGTTTGTGAGTTGTTTGTGGCACTTCATGGCAGAACGGAGCCCGTATGGAAGGCCAGAGTTACCTGGGCCCGTTAAACAATGTCATTCTTTAGATATACATCTAATCTTTTCGTTATCTGTGGACTCCCCGCCGTGTGGCCGCTTCATCACAAAGCAACGGGTTGACAGATCTCCACAGACGGACGTCAAGCTATACAATATTAAAAAAAAACAACGGCAAAGGATTCTGCCCCTTAAATCCATGCTTAATAACATTCGTTTAGCATTTTTGAGCAGCAAATCTTAGTTTGCCGCGATTTTTGCAGCTGCTACGGGACCGATTTCCATAGTTTCAAGGAATTAGTTTTAATCACATTAGGCGTGCTATTGAGACGCGAAATACTCCTTTAAGCCAATCTGTTTAAGGGATTTTTCGCTACATAAAATCACAGATGCCGATAAAAAACAAACCCGCAGATAAATGTATAAGTAGATTAGAAAAGTTGTATTTCTTTTGTTCATTAATTAGAAAGCCTAAGATGAAAACAATTTTGCTACAAAATAGTCTGCTTTAGTTTCTTATTTAAACATAACTTTTATTCTTAGGCATACTACTAATTGAAAAGATAAACATAAATATTTATTATAAAGCCCATGTAAAGTTTTAATAATATTAATTTTGCGCATTTATTTTATAATTGAAAGCCATCAAGTTTTTCTTCTAATATTAGGATTTTTCGGAACAAAAAATAAATGTAAAGAACAAAATTAAATTTTGAAATTTAAAACAAAAATAAATTTTGATTTAATTTAAGAAAATTTGTAAAAAGTAGTAATTGAGTAAAAAAGAAAGATTTTTGTAATATCTTTATTGTTGAACGATATTACAATTTCTTAGAAGATTTCATTTAACAAGGTTATTTACGGTAATTATCCAATATATTTTTTTTATAAATTCTATACATATGTAAATAGAGAAAATGTTTGTGTGTCCACGCATTCCTAATTTGATGAAATTGATGAGATGAAATGAAATCTTGGTAGGAAATTCTAACGTCAAAGAAGATTTTTTTATGCTTATTGTCTAAAAATCACAATACTTTTCGCTTTTAATTCATTATAAAATAACTTATTGTGAGTGCGTTTTATTATTTCTTTCCTGTTTTTTTATTACTAGAAGTAACTTCATTTTCAAAGATTCAAATTAGGAATTTGTAAATTTATTAATTGTATAAGGCCAATAAACATATAAAAGTTTTATTAATTCCTGGCTGTCCCTGCGACTTCATCCGCGAGGAAATAAAAAAACTTAATTAGTAGCCTATATGTTCTTCCAGACTATGCTCTACATATATGTCAAATTTTAGCGTCAACTATGCAGTCATTCTCGCGATACCTTCTAACAAACATCCATCCGTCCATACATCAAAACATTCGCATTTATATTATAGTAAATTTACATTACATAATGTAACTAAGTTTTCATATAAGGCAGAAAACGCTTGTAGCTAGTGTACCTAAGTACTTAATGCCGTCGGCTCGTATTTTCCGTACGTTGTTATGAAATTGTTATGAAAAAATACGTTCTTGTGAATATTAGTAATTTTAATGTAAATTTGCATGTTTTATCAATACTAGGAAAATACTCGTACTATAGGACATAACAAGTATTTAAGATCTTACTAATATTATAAATGCGAATGTTTAGATGTATGGACGGATAGTAGATATTTGTTAGAAGGTGTCTCTGGACCAGCTGAACGGATCTCGATATAATTTGGCATACATATATAAAATAGCCTAGAAGAACACATAGGCTACTTATGTTTTTTTAAATCTCGCGTGGACAGAGTCGCGGGCGACCCTTACTTATATAACAAGGCGGTTTATTTGTTTACAAAATAAGAATAATTTGATTAAAGACAAAACTTTTATTTATTATCTATGTTAATGTTATAGGATTAGATAAGAGAAAAGATTAAAATGTTTGTTTGTTTGCATTGAATAAGCTCAGAAACTACTGACCTGAAAAGTTCTTTCACTATTGAGAAGCTACACTATACCCGGGTGACATAGACTATATTTATAACTAGATTTTATTTCGATAATCGAAGTCGCGGGAAACTGCTAGATTAATAAGTGTACTAACCTTATCAAAATTAAGCTGTTCTACTCCTTCTATCTTATTCTATAAATTTCTAAATAGTTGCTGAAGACGAATACCATGCGGTGTCTATTACAAATTCTTCGGATAGATATTTTATAAGTTTTTTTTAAATTAATATTTATTATAAACTTCATTGATTATAGTAAATTTTATGCAGTTTTATGACGTGCTTCCAATCAAAATATTTAGGTATAAATGAAAAGATATGCGATATGAAGCCCCAGACTACGTTATTCATATAGGTCTTGAACTACTTTAAATTATCAATAATATCTTTCAATGGTAAATGTAAACAGTTAATTGTCCAGTTTACAAGAAAATACACTAAAATCACATAACCGTGTCATAATAAGATGTGATAAAATATAAATAAATAGAGATTGGAATGTCTCAATGTAAACATTTCTTATATGTAAACAAGGGGGGTGAAAATCTTACCTGATAATAACGAAAATCCAAGGTTAGCCTACAACAGCGTGGGGCAACACTACAATTTACAAGTTTTATCGATCGGCACTATGACGCAGGCACTCACTCAACCTATAAACTCTACGTTATTACTAAAAGTACCAAAATATATTCGATTATTGTTGGGCGAGTTATCACAGGTTTGGCGCGTCGTTATAATCTCGTATCAATTTTGTTACGGGTACGGTTCACGCGATGCGATTTCCTCGGCATCGGTTCGCCGATCGTTTTGTCACGCGACGATGTCGTCTCGTAAGATTGAAAGCCCTCGCGACGTGGATCCACCGACTCCGCTGAGGCTCTCAGCATGACTGCGGGCTCCCGCGACGCCGCCCCTCGCCCAAGCCCGAGCCGACATGCTGCTTCTTACGAACATTTTGTGAACGGGTCCGCTCCGAAGGCGCGAACGCAGCCCTGCGCGCACACTAAGGGCGGGACGGCGAGAACTTTTTCGTCCAATAATACCAACGACGGAGCGAGCCGACACTGTACTACCGTCTCGCTCACTCGTAAGTTAAAAGACGAAGTGTAAATGAAACAGAAAATTTCGAGATTACACTAACGATCTTAAGTAGAAAATTTCTTAGTGTTGGTGCCGTAATGTGTTCGTTTTATCAGATTTACGTTGAAAGCTCTCTGTTAGCTTTCGAGGGCGCCAGATCTCGTCGCTCGCTCTCGCTTACTTGTTTAGACGTGAGTTCGAAAAGGATAGATGAAGACGGGGAAATGTTCGGGCTAATGTATTTTCCTGTGGGAAGGAAAACACATGTCGTCACTTTTAATTTAATACGCGTCACGCTGCGTCCTCATGTCCCGCTTAGTATAAGATGCTACCACTTTGAGAACATTGTTCTTTACTATACAGCTATATACAATAAGTATTGTTTTATTTTTGTTTGCAGTATAATATTACTTTTCATATTGTAATCATTAGGTAATTTTTTATCTCAAATAAGGCACCTCGTGTGTTATAACTAATTCTACTGTGAGACTTAATTATTAAAAAGAAAATTATACAAAATTTTAATATAGTTAGACAAAAATTAAATATTACCTTACCTTTTTTATCTTTAACATGGTAATTAAAATATAAAAAGAAATAAGATGTGTTTGTGATATAAATACATAACCGATTTATCAGTTAACAAAACATAAATTAATTTAACTTATATTAAAAATCCAATTTATATTCATTCGAGGGTCATGAATCGAATTACTGAATCATGTTTTTGTCAAAGTAATAAGCATCAATGGCGTGCCGGGTACATTTGGATTCAACATGTGACATTAACTGCTGTGTCTTGGAAAACTTTTTCACAATCAAATTGACATTCGGTTCTGCTTAAAATGAGAAAATTGCAACTCGGAAAAAAAATATTCTACATGACAAATAGATCAACAAAATGAATGACTTTGAACTTTATTTAGTTGGTGTAGAGTTTAAAAATGTTTGAATTCGTTTTAAAATATTTTTGCACGTGACTGTACGTTAACACGCCTACACGTGGGCGGGACTTTTGTAATAATTGAAAAGGGGGCGTTGATGTTGCTCCTGCGCATATTTTGTATTAATCGTCGGGCTCTTGCCTTCAGATAAGATGTGGTTTGATTAATTTAATATATTTGCTCGCACTTGCGCTTCCCTCACGCAATAATCTTTTTTTACAGTTTCGTAACGTGATCGGGATGATAATAAGATGTTTTTTTTTAAATGTTGTTTTATTGTTGCCTTTATATGTAACCAGTTTCATTCTTGAAACTTTGAAGCGACTCATTGTTTCTTATAAAGTTTCTTTACACGTGTACATGTCGACAGAAGCCACTAGGTATCTTACTAATATTATAAATGCTGATTAGTATGGATGGATGAATGTTTGCTTGAAGGTATCTTCGGAACGGCTGCACGGATCTCGCTATAATCTGTCATAGATGTAGAATACAGTCTGGAAGAACAAATAAGGCTACTAATTATGTTTTTTTTATTACGCGCGGACGGAGTCGCCGGCGCCAGTTAGTTTGTCATTATATAAAATTTTGTAACACAAATAACAATTAAAATGAAAACTGTCAAGAGTTTATTTATACTTTAAGGTTATCTTTTCTTAAATCATAATAACTAGTAATTTTTTTTTTAAACTAACATAGATAGATGGTACTCGGCTTAAAGATTAAGATATTAAAGAAAAAAAATAATGAAATGCAACCACAAAATTGCAAAGTTTTGTCAAATATCATCAAAAACGATTAGTCACAATTTTATAACAAAACACAATGCAAAAAATATAACAATGAAAACATTTCTCCCACATGTTACTGCAGAACGGGCTACAGCATTTCAATATACTAAAATAACGTTATTATTTATCCGGGCTGTTTTTCGGGAGTGACGCTAGCTACAAATTACATCGGACAATACCTCCGCGGGACATCGGCCTTATTAAAAGCGGCCACCAGATGGCCCCAGTGAGACCCTTACACAACGCGCCGCACTCTAAACAATACATTACAAAAATTCTATTAAAAACAAATTTGGATTTAATTCGCCATAATATAATTAAATAGTTTTATATATATAATGTTACTATAATAATTCTGCAATGTCCTGTCTATTATTCTCAAGGCATATCATATCTACATTTCTGACGTAATTTTTAAAATTTTTAATTTATTTATGGTATTAATATGGTAATTAAATACATCGATTAAGATAACTATTATGTGTTTATTCTCTAATAAAAATTGTCATTTTAAATTGCTTAAAATTCATCAGAATCAGAAAGCGTAAATTTGAAACCTTTTACAATTTCTCGATAAGCTATATTTAGCGGAACATTGAGTTCGTTGGAGCAAAGAACAACTCGCTCTATTATTAATTTTCGATTAAGTATTTTTAGTAATATAAAAATAAAAGTTTGTAAAACCACCAACCACAAACCGCTACACACGTGAAATGTATTTTACTTTTAGCTCATATAATTCAGTGCTAAAAGTAATGTAGAAAGATGTCTGATGTCGTTGATGTCTTATATATGCCAAATATTGTTTTAGTATATATTCACAATTTATCATATAAAAGTCACAACTATTTGTCAATTTTTAGCCGACTTCAAAAAGGAAGAGGTTATCAATTCGTCTGTATGTTCTTTTTGTTACGTTAAACATGAATTTCCAATGCAAAAATGTATACTTTTGCGAAATCCTTCCTCTAAAAAATGCGAGATTTTAAGAAAGTTGTAAAATGTTTACAGCTTTAACGTTTAACGCTAACGATTACGTGAGGTCCAGAAATCATCATCTGTCAATGTTTAAATTTTCAATAAGTTGACACAAACATCTTCTATCTTTTATGTATATAAAAGAAAGTCGTGTTAGTTACACTGTTTATAACTCAAGAACGATGATGTGGATGGATGGGTGGGCTACACTAATTAAGTTTTTTATCTAAATATATCCACGCGGACGGAGTCGCGGGCGCTAGCTATTATGATATGAATAAAATATGAATGGCATACCATTCAAATATTGTTTCCTTTAGGAAACCCGTTAACATATTTCGGAGACTTACATTCCACCTTTATAGACTTTTTCTAGTATAATAATCCCTCTAATCTTTTCAACGTTTTCAACATCTTAAGTTACTTTATAAAAGGTTACATCATCCAGTGGAATATCAACAAAGAAATAACACGACATGTTACTCCATCCGATAAGCGTCTTCACTTCAAGGCTTTCCTCGTCTTTTGTCCGTTTGCGATGCAAGTAATTAAATCTAACATGATCCCATGACTATTGATATCTGTTGCTATGAGGTCGCCGACAGCCGACAGCCGACATTCGACACAATTGGATGTGATGAACTTTTTGCCTCGACCTCTGATCGAATTAGATTCAGTTGCGTATTTGTTGTCGGTTATAATGTGTTGCATCTACCTGTAGTTACATTTTTTTTGCAAACACATATATAAAATAACGGCAAATGAAACAAATATTAATTTGTTAATTTTATTTTTAAATTTCATTCCTTTCCATTTGATTAAATTACTTTCGTCTCACAGTTTAAAATGACTATCATTTAAAATGAATTTCAAATCGTAAAATCTCGGATTAAGATTTTAACAGCGGTTAATGTAAACGTTATTTAACATAGAGAATTGAGTCATTAAGAGTATTGCTTATGCAAATAACTTTCACATAAACAGTACCTAATTGGATAACGTCATGGGGTTATATGAGCAACGTGCGAGATGGCCCCCAAGGCGCGCGTACGCGAGGAGCCGAGTGCAGACGCGGAACATGATAAACAATCCACATTTAATATGCTATTTGCTGCAAAGAAATTGACCAATTTATACAACGCACTTAAAGCAGTCATGTTTTATTCTGGTATTTCATTTAGTACACCTTTTATTTGGATTACGGCTGTTACTTATTACCATGTGAATACTTTGGTATGTTCGACCTTTTCGTTACCTCATATATAAAGCTATCGTTACCTCCCATTGATGTATATAAAACCCGCCTCACCGACGTGTGCTGGACCAAGCAATATAAACCGGGTCACAATAGAACGTACCGTTTAATTGCCGCCGACTCAGTACCGACCATTACACGATTTGTAAGTCATTATGTCGGCTCTATTATTTGGATATTTTAATCAAGACGATCGATTGGAGTGTGTAGGCATAAAAGAAGCTAATTAATAATAAGATATCGAGGGAGCGGTCCGCTGCCACATGCCGTAGCAAAAACCAAATGGAAATAGAGAGATTCGAAACGCTATCGGAAATAAAATGATGACTGTTGCGATCATTCAGCCCTTTTTGCTCCAATTTCGATTTATTTTTTTTCCCGTAACAATGAAAGAGTTTTAATATACAAAAGGAGATTCAGAAATAATCAGTGCTTCGCGCCGCCAGATTTAAAATTAATTTACATAGTATATACAGTATATATTATATAAAACCACTTAATATAAATCGTAAGTGAGGTGTACAAAAATTACCTACTGTGTTTTTTGCTTTATTTTACGTGACTCACATTCCATCTTAACATGAGTACATAACTTATTATGTATTCTACTGAAATGTGGTAATAATTAAAGCATGCAGTCCTAACTCAGTGAAAGCGACGCCATACTATGTAATAACATTAAGGGCTAAAACTTGATATTTTTGGGCTAAGTTGAATGGCGTCTTAAGGCTTTTAATTGCCGACTTACGGCGTTCGACGCTCATGTAGATCAAGGGGTAAATCAAAGCGTTGTTATTTTTATAATATATAATATTTAGTGCAATGAACGTTTGTATGTACAGTAGCATCAATAATAGCGCGCCCAATCGCCGCCGCCCACAAAAA